TAGTGACAAAATGATAAGGCACCAATGTGTCTTTCATGACGATCTGTAGTTTGGCCTACCTTTACAGTATTTTTTAAGGCAAGCCGTTTTGAACGCAAGTTGGGCAACTATTTGACAAACACGTACTACTCGTACGCAGGAGTTTACCTTCCGCGTTTACGGAAACGGCATTGTTGGTCGTTACGGCTCAGTCTAAGAGATTTGTAGCACTTGTTTGTGCAGATTCACGGTTTTAAATTACGAAAGCAACCCATCAACTCAACAAAGCAAAAGAAAAACCAACAGACTCTCAACCGGATGTCACTAGTCCTGTCATGTTCTATTCTCAGCAATGCTGCCGAGTCACAGAGGAAACCGAAATGGACAGATGGTCAGGAAATGAACAGATATATTTGGAATTTGTTTGGGAAAATTATTGATCCTGGAACTTTCATAACATCTCTATGCTTTTTTTCGTCTCATGATACAAACATGATTCAACGGAAGACGGATTTTTTTTACTCTCAAATGCGTTCTAGCGTATTTCCTGCAATTATACCAGCCCGCGCATTTCCGAATACTACAAAGGACGTGACGTGTCAGTCGTATTGACAGACAATTGTGTTGGTTTGCCTCCACCATTCATTGGCATTTGCAATAAAAAAGCTATAAAAGTCAAGCACAGGGTACACGCGTTTACGCAAATTATGATGACAACATGGGCGGGGGGATGGATTGTTGGCTTATAGATTTGTGGCATGGAAATCCCAGGACAAAATCCAATGCGATAGTGGCGAATGTTTTTGTTTGAGTGACTGTACACCTTACCAGATGTACCAACACGAAGGCCAAAAAGCTCCCCGAGGCCCGTAAATAAATTACATTTTGTAGTGATTTTTCGCACGGACTTCTGGACGAGAGAGTTGCACTGGGTATGCAGGGCACTGAGTTCGGAAATCAAGATTTCCCCCCAAAATAACCATCTCGTCACCTTCTCCTCTAAGGCCTAAGGTCCCTGCAAGCAGCACTACATGTACACCGTCCCCGGGGGTCTCTGGGTATGGGTGTCTGAAGTAACCGCACCATGACCCGTTGAAATTTGGTAAACGCAAACGGGAAAGTCCCACTGACGCACCAATTTAGCGGTATCTTTTTTTCACGTGTAGGTCTCGCGCATGGGTACGTTATCTGATACTCTTACAGTTATTGACAATGAATGACGAAATTTTGGTGTGGCATGCGGAAGTCTTTGCCCAAACATTTCGCATTTTGTTGGGACTTGTAAAATTGTATGAATACGGAGCTGAAGTAATTTTAACTGATGGCCTCGGCTCTTCTTCACCGTCGGTGGAACGATTTTCAAAGTGGGGGGGGCATCAGAAAAGTAAGCTTAAGTCTTTGACCACGGGCGTAATTTGAAATACACGATAGAAACAAGGCTGCGTAGCACTGATGTGACTGGAGAAATGAAACAGTGCTCATCAGAAGTTAGATGCTTAGATGCCAGGCATGTAACTTCTTCTAAGCTGCTAAATATCTAACTTGAAGTACCCGGTTCATATATTGCTCATTCCCACGCGCCTCCGCTCAGTGCATCACAGACACACTAGACGCCAAGTAAGTTCTTTAGCTATTTTGATAGGCACTGCAAAAATGAATCTAATTAGCCAAATCATTTTAAGTGAAAAGTTGACTAGAATTTGATTTGGATTCCCAGGCTTTGTTACATTTTTGTTGCTTGGTGGTCTTGTCTTATACAGGAGGTCTACACCATAAAAAATCTACAACCCCCCCCGGTAATACAGTTGCTGTATGAAGACTTACAAGACATATCCCTTTGATTTTGTTGCTTTGTTACAGTTTTGCTTTTTTAAAGTCCTTTCAGCTGAGTGGAAAAGAACATAAAAAATATACATAACAATACAACCATGATTAAACACAGTGTATCCGTGAGCTCCTAGATATTCCGAAACTAAAAGAACGATTCATATAATAAATAGAAAAACGGACACGTACTTTGAACTCCTAAAATCTTTTCTCTGTACACCTATCTGCGATCATGTCAGTCACGCGACGACTACTCGTTTTCAAGTGCCAGCGTCTGGCATTGACAACAAGGAAACACGTATGCAGATTTCGCAAGACCAAACTGTCTTGTTTGCTTTGGCATTTGTTGGGATTTATAGTCCCTGGGGAAATGTCACATTCCTAGAAGATCGGTTCGTTTCCGTGTTGGTTTTTCATGGAGGTATTTTCCCCTCTGCCGTCCCTCTTGCAGTGGGGTCATTTAACTTGGCATTCCGTTTCGAACGCGCATGAACTTTTTATTGAGTTGGCTAGGAAAAGGAACCGCCCTGGAATCTAGCTAACGCTGGAATTTGATTATTCGATAAGACAGCTTTTTGGCTGATTTCAGCTTTTTTTGTTTAGATGTTGACCCTGAATTTCAGCTTTATACCGGTACCTGGTCTGTATAAAGTTGAGGGAACTTTTGACAAACATTTCTGCTTTTTGCTAGCTGATTTCAGCTTTAATTTTTTAACTGGCCATTCACACCCCTGTTTAATTGTGAAGATTGGATATAACACAGAGAACTGGAAATTACGCTCAGAAGGTTATTCGGAGGGGACATATCGGTGTTGCGGAGGAGGGCTCCTGTCACTAGAAAAAGATTGGGGAAAACGAGAAAGAAACCGTTGAAAAAGACGGGTCGAAAAAGTTGATTCAAACAAACCAATTTGTGTGAAAGAAGCTAAGAAATGACCTTTTGTATTGTTGAAGGTTCGCCAATTTGTAGCTGAAGGGTCTTCCTTTTGGGGTATGAGCTCGCCCCCCTTAAATTTCTGATGACACCCACAGAAAACCAGGAAGCTCCAGCTTATTTTGGGCCGTATACGAAGGAACTTCCTTTCCAGTAAATCGGGAATACTATATCTGAGGCTGAAAGAAGACATAATTGCATTGTGGCTTGTTTGAACCCCCTTCCTGAAATATCGTGCATAAAGTTAACTGTGGAGGAATGTGCGGAGAGGAGTAAAGGTAAGAGTTCGTGAAGACTTGATTAATAGACGTCATTCAGTTGAGTTCTTACTGCTGAAGTCTGCTTTCCCAGTCGCCTTAGCCCTTGTTTACTTTTGAAGAAACATCAGCCAATCAGCCGTCGTTTCCTTCCAGCATTCTGATAATTTCATACCCATATCATGCATGAATCGTTGATCAAATATTCAAATTTGATCCGATTTGGAATCTGCCTAAAAACCTTATCCGGGACGTTTTTTGTAGGGAAACCCCCGGTGGTCAAGCGCCGAAAACCAGGAAATCCTTAAACTTAAGTGCAAACATGTTTCCTTATTACTGTTTTACTTAGGGTTGGGGTATAAAAATGATAGGCTTGTTTGAATGCCATCTTTTAAATTTCAGCCAAATCCATGAGATTATTTTGGAGATTAGTGTTTACAAAGATTGCAAGTGGTTTGGATGTGCTGAGAGGGCGCTGTTTGAAGGCAACGGTGCACAGATTTTATTCGCCCGTACTTGAAATTGTCTCTTTTCGAAGTTTCGTCTAATTTTTAATCCCATGACGTTTAAGTGCTTGTGCAATAATTAATCCTAAAGTGCCATCGGGACATCGAACTATGTGCAATGGAGCCAAATATTGAAGAATATCTGTTTGATCTGGACACTTAGGTCTACATTTGGGGACTGATCTTGAGGCAAATCTCAGACGGGGACGACACCTCATGTTGGTAAACTCGAGTCCTAGCTCGGCTGCAGCCTGAGCGGGCAGGGGCGCTGTTTAAATTGCCTTAATTGCGCAGCTGTGCACCAATTTTTGTCCGTATGTTGAATCATGGTTGAATGCCGTCCAAAACTTTATTGCGGAAGAGAGAACTTTGCCACATTGTCACAATTTTCCATGTCGAAACGCTGATAAGCCAGGTGGTGCACGTGGTGGTGATAACCCAAACTCAGTAGCAGTGTATTCGAGTCCATCACAAGTCCTTTCAAAGTCCAGTCACAAGCCTTGAGCCCCTAATTCACAAGGCCAGTCATAAGTAACAGGGCGAACAATGACGAAAGAATGTTTGTGTCACAGTTCATTTGAGTAGCTTGTGACGGACTCGAATTCAACACTGCCTCACATGTACTAAGTTTGAATATATGCACCCACCTCCAATAAAACAACGCATTAATTTGTTCCTCCAAAGTACGTAATCCCACACCTCTTCTAGGCCTACTTAACTGATGAAACACGAATTTCATGTCGAAGTAACGTCACGAGTGGAAGAACAGGAGAAAGTTATAATATGCTGGTAGGACTAAATTTTGTTCAACTCCTCAGATGAGGACCATCATCAACGCGTCGCAAGATCACCTCAGACTGATTTTTTTCTATTTCATTTTTTTAAAAACTAACCTTACCGCTTTTCCCCCAACAAAACTTAACGCTTCCGCTAGATTCACTATCAGTGAAAGAGAAACTTTCGGACTGCAGGAAACTTTGAGGTCATGATAGCTGCCCGAAGTTGCTGTGTAGAGGGGATTTCGACAGACACGAAGTGGTTCAGAAGGGAATTTCCAAATACATATATCTTGCAAGTCATCAGCTTGGAATAAAATATGCGATTAAAAATTGAGACTTCTCCAATTCCGCCTTATGTTCGTTGAAACACAAGGCTGACCAATTTCTTTTTTGGGGGCCCGATGGTTTTTAATTTCAGTCCAACGATTGACCAAAATTAACATCATTCAGTGCATACCTACATTTATTTCCGTATTTTGATTTGTGAAAAGCACAGAACATAATGAAATTAATTCTCAATCAAATAACAGGAAACGATACTATGTCGCGAACTTACTAGCAGAACTTTCAGAACGAAAGGGAGGGGTCAGATGGAGAAGTGTCAAGTTACTTTTTGGCTCACCAGCAATCAGAAACAGCGCCACCAATTGACTTAAAAGAACAGGATGAAGCAGGTTGCCACGATGACCAATCCGTTTACCAGACTATCCCATGGTGGGCCGGCCCCGTCTAACGTTTCTTGCGTCACATTTCCGCCTCGGATACTAAACTGACCAAAGCAGAGGACTTTCTAGTCTAGAGTGTTATTGTTGTTTATCCGACGAAATCACAGTTACCTGTCTCGTTGGCTTTTGCACTTCCCTGCGTGGTCATCCTGAAATGCCAAGGTAATTACATATTCCGAGGCTCATTGTGCGATAAAAATAGTGTATATTAGTTACTGGAAGTGACACAGTTCTTGCACTTGAAAGTTTGGCTGTTTGTCATGAACACTGCCACTGCGGTCATGCTGGTCATGCGAAGTTTTTGAACAATTAATTGGAACGACCAAATTCCATTTTGTCCGCTTTCTTCACACTGACAAATTAACTCTGGCATGTAAAGTTGCAGAATTTAGGTCAGTGACTGCATTGTCAAGGAACAGCCCTCGTTAAATCCCTGACCTTCCTCATCATGATCTAACACGTTTTTTCTTTAATAAAATTAAAACATTGCATGGCTCATTCATGTCATTAGCTTTTTTGGGGTGAACTCAACCGTTCCTACAATTGCGCAGCTACATGTAGGCCTGCCGGTAGGGGTTCGGGGGTAGCCTACATGCTTTAACATGTTTAAATTTGTGGAAAAAGCATGTTAAGCTGTACCAAGTTTAGAAAACTTGGTTGCTTGATACTCAACCTTGCTGCTCCTTGTCATTGCTGTTCCTTAATTTTTGTGTTCTTAAGGAGCTCATGCATGTATGAACTTTGAAGGCCCTATGCACTTCGAAAATCAATCATTGTCCGTTGCACTAATTTCCACTTAAAAGCAGACTCTGGGTGGGCCATGGGCTGTTGCAAGCCAACTCACTATTTAAGAAAAGATCTCTTTGAATTATGCCAAGGAGTGCAATATGTGCCTGTCACTTCTCAGTAAAAGATGAAAACTCCCTGTCCATTCCAAACTAAATTGAAACTGATCAGCCGATAGGCCTAACATGATGCTACATGTAACATGGCCGTACATGTACATGTAGATGTATTTCCGCTGTACCAAATATACCGGTATGTATTTTTGAATAAACACTTTAAGATTTTATTGACCATTATAAAAGATTTATGGGGTTTTTAAAATGTTTTAATTCATCAAAAAATTCCTGGCCAAAAGGTTTTTCCTGTCCTTCAGACAGTTTGTGCCAGATAAAACACTTCATGGTAATTGTCTCAGCATTTCCTAGTTGAGGAATCAGTTTGCATGGCTCAGAATGACAAATGAGTTATCCAGAGTTTCAACCGCGCATCTAATTATTGATCCATTTTTTTGTCAGGTCCCAAAATGTAAAAATGAATTTTTAATCTGCCTACAGCAGAAGCAACCCATCATCGGTTTAGAAGAGCCACGCTGGTGGGGAGTTTCTCAGTCTGTCGGTCGCGTTTTGACTGTTACGTGTGCGTTTCATTGTCATTTGTGAACCAGTGAAGTGCACTTTTCACCAAAGGAGCCTCTGTTGCTGGGAAAATTGCGCCCTCTCTTGGTCCCGCTCGGGGCAGATAAGGTCATCCTTGAGCCATTTTTCATCTCGAGCTACTCGTGCACTGGCTTGCGGTGGACTTGACTAAAGCAACTGTAGTGTGGGCAGTAAATAAACTGACATTCTTTACATATATTTCCTATGTGCTTCTGCCTTTTAAGTCTTGATCAGATCTGTTCTTTTCGCATTTATTGTTCACATGGGAGTAGACAACAAACTAAGACTTGTTGCTCACCAAAGAGTCGATCCCGAAGTGTGGGATGCTCACTGAATTCAGCTGGATCAGAGTTCTCTTAAACTACTGTTCATAACTACCTAAGACAGTACGGCCATTCCTATTGGTCAAGAGCGTGTAACGTGGCTGGTTCTAAACAGTTGGTAAAGTACCAGCTGGCTGTGCGCTACGTCACGCAGTGCCCGTCTCACACTCACTGGTCTCCACTTTAAGAGATTGTTTATGATTACTCTTGAGGGGAACCTAGCATAACGTGGTTAGAGGATTTTGGAAGAAAATGAAGTAAAGTTTTTGAATAAAATCGTTAGAAATTTGTAGCTTTTGAAACTTGCGTCACTTGAAAGGGAAAAAATATGTGCTTTGCTGGTCTCAGACTTAATGGCTAAAGGCATTATGAGCACGCAGTCTCTTGATCTAGTCTTAAAAGAATAAGCGCATATCTTTATTCCATTTGAATCATGGCAATCTGGATCGTATCAAATGTTCTCAAGAATCTTGGATGACCATCAGCTCCATGTGTCTCCAAGACTCCATCTGGCTTTGGTTGAAAATTAGGGCAAAATATCAATTTGATACTCTTAAAAAAAAAACATCTTGCGGATAGATGCAAAGATTCCTGAATTGTTCCATAATTGCATGTGCGGCCTCGCTTGCAAACATTAACACATCAAGAAGATCTTTGAAACCACATCAAAAATGGCACTGACCCAGACATCTTTAACAGTCGGAGAGTTCAATATCTCTGAGGGTTCCTGATGCTAATTTTGAATTTTTTTTGGCACAGGTTTCTTTGTTTGTGATCCTGCCGTGTAGGTGATGGTTCGATAAATAGAAGCCATGGCGGAAGAGAAGGTAGTCCACTCTGGCTACCTGCTACATCGCCCTGGAGGAGGTAGGTTTGATGGCAGCAGACTGTTCATGTGCCTCCCTCAACCACCTGTGGATGGTATAATTTTTAGCTGAAAACCTTTTTTTTGGGGGGGAAAGGCGAGATACGTTGGCCATCTTTTCGAATACAGTCAAGCTCATCAAATACAGTCTCTTGACAGTCATGTAGGATCACTTTTGTGTGTTGTTCTTGATTGCGACCTCAAAATTTGCGGAGGCCTCGTCTGTATACTTTCTCGGATGTGAAGTTGACTTTTAAAGCTGTTTACATGCTTTGGGAAGGGAGGGGAGTGAATCCGTCCTAATAGTAGTCCTTGTGCCCTCAAGTTGTACCCCAGGGATCCTTCCTTCATGGGGGAGGGGGGAAAATGGCCCTGTTTGACCACCAGAGTGAAATATCTTGACATTTTGAGCTCACTCTCAGAGGAATGGAAATGTGTTGATTTGAATGATAGGAGAATGATATGAATAGTTTTTTTTCTTTTCTCCGAAGCTCTGGGTCGGTGGAAGAAAAAAAGATACTGGTTCCAACTGGATGAGGTGTCATGTCAGTTGCGGCAATACAAATCGCAGGCCGAGCTCTGCCACACTGTGGGCACGGTGGACATACGGGATGCTTGCATATCCATCCTGCCAGATCACCAGAACCATATTCTTGTTGCGTGAGTACACATAGATAATGCAGGGGCCGGGTGTCGTTACAGTTGGGGAGCACATTTTTGGGCAATACAGAAACTCGGTATCTTATTAGAAAAAATTAAACAAGGGCACTCAGGTATCAGTCACAGGAACCTATTCCAAAATTTAAACTCAAGAATAAAGGCAGTGAGAAAATAGGCAACGTGATAGATGCATTCAAATTCATCTTTTCTCTAAATCAATCTGTGAAAAAATGGTCACCAAATTTCTACTGTCTGTACCTGAATGCTCGGGTTTATAATGATGGTTTGGATTGCATGAGCTACCATTGTTAATAAGTGAAATGCAAATTTGCTTTTTTTGGTGAAATATTATTTATAGGGCTGAGTCAATTTGAGTAATTCACTTTTCGAATATTTAACCGTCAATTTGATCCAGTATCCGAATATATCTCCAGCTACGATTTAGCAAGATTTAAGAGATGAACAAGACTTCTTGCCCCATTGAAAATTTCTGCTCCTTTTAAATTGTTTAATGAATAATTTACTTTTTAAATCATTGTAAGATTTCTGTCACTTTTTATTTGAAACTGCTTGAAACAAGCCTCCATAGTGCAATTTGTCTCATTTAATTCAATTCACAATTTTCCCTTTTTGTGAATTTTGCATCAGAATATTCAAATTTGAAAAGAATTATATTTGAATATTCGACAATCAATCTACAGTCACAAGGTAATTTTTGAAAAATGGCTACGAGTAGCTGAGCTGAACCAACATTGATGGCCTGGTTCTTATATACCGTACCAGGTTCCAGTATCTGAAATTCAGGGCATTATGTTTACAAAAATGGAGAATTCCGATGTGCAAATTCAAAGGGAGCCTAACCCCTCGTGATTTTCACTGAGAAATTCTCCAATCCTTTTCTCAAAAAGTGTCCCTTGAAACCTTGCTTTCACTTCAGAGCATTGGAGAGTCTGACATCAAAAGAAAAGAGATTGTCTCTGGTGATCTACTGGAGCAAAAAGGTTTCCTGAAGTGAAAGAATAATTGACAACCCAAGAAATCTAAACTTTTGAAGCTTGAGGTTTAACGCAGTAACACTTCCAATATTTATTAAAAAAAAAAGGAGGTCACACTGTATTGTTATCAGAAAGTTCGCTTACCCAAATGCACTTGCTCTTCTCACAAATGCATTGATTTTCGTTCATAAAATTTTACTTTCAATATGTATTTGTACTTCTGTCTCCTGGAAATGACACGTGAAGAGTACCCAACAGTTTGGCTCCAGTTTCATTTCTCTGTCTTACTTCCTGTGTGTACCAACAGGATCTTTGTGCTTGAGTAGGGAAACGACTGGAAACAAAATAAAGGGAAGCAGCCGATCAATCATGTCACTGCATTACGTACATGTATACATACATGCATATGTATAGCATGTACGTGTGTGCTCTGGACTGATGTGGAATGTGCTGATGTGTGTCATGTTTATTTTCCAAACAGTGCTGCCGTGTTTTTGTTTTAGTGTGTTTGAGGCTTGGGTTCGGCAATGTGGTCATGGTTATTTTAATTAGGGAATCCATTCAAACCGTAAACCTTGTCGGCCTTTGAGGGAAATGGAATTAAATATAAAGTTTGTTTGTAATTACGAAATGGTGAGGAAAGATACATGTTCACATGTAATTACTGGTTGCCCCCTCCCCTCCTCCCCCTCCTCCCCCCTCCTCCCC